TTTGCTCATTTAACTAATGAATATGAGAACGGACAATTCAAGTGACAAAAGGAGAGAGCATCCAGATCTTCTCTTCCTGCCAAACTTCTATGTGCCGCCAAGAGCCTGTTGAATGCACAAACGACGTTGTCGACTTTCTGCGGTTACCAGTTAACAGCAACAGTGTTTGCCAACTCTCGATGTTTCTCATGGAATTTATGATGGAAACTACATGAAATTTTTACAGGTATTAGTTGCTTCACAAGGGGAAACATTTTTAAATTATAACAGGTCTTGGTTAATTTTTTTCCTTCACATGATGTCTTGATCACTGATACATTGAGGTCATACAAAAAAGAAACCAAAAGTGCATTATTTATAAACTCAAATTTTGAATGAGGTGGAAAACAATGCATTGTCGTTTGCTTTTCTCACACATAAAGCTACTCGCTTGTCTGCCTCCTAACGATCAGTGACAATCACTGAGGCCAGAATTCTAAACTGTCTATTTAACTGACTCACTGGCAGTTTGGCGTTCAACCGCCTGTGTTTATCACCTATAACTGCCTAGTGAAAGATTTTAAATTCATTCGTTCCTACCACTGATTTCTGACGAACTCTGCCACGCGACTTCCTCGCGCACCGTGTTGCTACCATACATTGCTGCAGTGTTTGAAGCGCAACAGGCGGCATCTTGGAAGCAGAATGACTTCCCAGGACAGCGTGGTAAAATGTTGTCATTAATCACGTTGCAGCGGCAAAGCGATTGAGAGTTTGCTGGACAGTGCAAGTTCGCTAAAACGCATAATTACGTAAAATATCTACGATTTAGTCCTTACCGTCAGAGTGCGTGCAGATCTGTAATTCCGGATTAAACACCGTCCCTGGTCCACACGGTATTTCGATCCACTTTCCACAGCTGTTCCTAAAATCACTGCCATTTCATGCACTGTTGCACGTTTCATCGCTGCTCATCAACAGAAGTTTTAAAAGCACTAGGAGCGCTAAACCAGCATTATAGACCATTGCTGAATTGCACCTTGGAATGCCAATAAAATATCAGAATATTTTTGGATAAGGCTATGTACGTATTTAATGATTATTAGACAATGAACACATGAACTAATGCAGAGTCATGTTACGGTCGTCACTTTGAGTCAAATTAATCGGATCTAAACAGAGGGCTGCTTGAATTAAAGAAACGGAAGTTACCTATTCAGTAATTTTAAACCATGGATTTTATCTTAGAAAAACATCACGCTAAAGGAGTACTGATGAGAGAACAATGAGCGGCAAGCGTGCATTTGAAATAAAAATTTGTCAGTCTCTGTTGAACAGCAGGCACAGTTTTTCACAAAGCGAAATAACTGTGAAACATAATAAACGAAAGACGTACATTTATACAGAAAAATGAAACCCGATCTTATAGGTTTACTAGCATATTGCTAGTTTCAGCCGTGACCTGCTTAAATGGGCCCCTAGTCCGCTAGAACCAAGGGGCCTGTGCTTACGCCGCTTCAATCCGGCATCCAAAACTACAAAGGAAAATACACCGAAACCTTAACTTACGAGTGAATCAATTTACGAGTTTTTCGAGATACGAGTCGTCGCTTGGTCAATTTTTTGCTTTAGGATACGAACCGAGATCCGAGTTACGAGTTAGCGAGCAAGCTTACGCCACTCGCCATCAGCGAACGTTCAGATCGCGGGGTTATCTTGTCGTGCGAGCATCTGTGTCATATTGCTGTTGCTTTGTTTTCGCGCTGTCTATTTTGAAAAATTTCTAAGTTTTAACCATGGGTTCTAAGAATGTGAGTGCCAAGATAACTGCTAAGAAGAATAAAGGGATGAAGTCCTAGGATATAAAAGCACGAAATCATCGAAAAACATGAGCAAGATGTGCGTGTTGTCGACCTGGCAAGGCAGTGTGACCGTACTACTGCTACGATATGTACAATTTTGAAACAGAAAAAGTCGATAAAGACTATACATTGTAGCATTAAGTGTGTAGCGAGAAGGTTAAGTTAAGCGATAGAGCACGAAATGAAAAACTTCCCCAACCTCCTCCACCTTCAGCAACATTTTCGTCTGATCTTGAAGGTAAACACACTCAATAAATCCAGTTTATTCCTTTACATTCTCTTTCATTATGTATTATTATTCATACACTATAATATATTACTTCATACACTACTTGTTATTTATAAAGGAAATTTTTCTTATTTTCAAGCCCGTAAAAAATTGGTGTGGTTTTTAGGGGCTGGAACGGATTCATAGCATTTCAATTAATTTTAATGGGGAAATTTGATTTGATACACAAGAAAATTGGGTTACGAGCTCGGTTACAGAACAAATTATACTCGAAACCAAGGTATAATTATATACCTCAGCGGCGATATCAGAAACTAGTAATATGCTAGTGAACCCTTAAGATCGATTTTATTTTGTTCTATAAATGAGGCCTGGTATGTTGGCAGGTGTCTGAATAGGCATTTGTTCAGCCCTATCTAGTGATGCGGTGTTGCATCCAAACACCGTAGCTGCTGAAACACCATGGAACCGTAGCCTGCTTAAATGGACCCCTGGACAAAAAGAGGCATGTGCCTATGCTGCTTTAATCCTGCATCAAAAACAAAAAGATGTACATTTTCATTACATTTTCATGAAGAGTCATTTGTGGAATATAAGAAACGAAGTTTACCTTTATTTGCAGGTAATCAAGCGGGCTGTTTAATTTTTGCAGGCAATACCTTCAATACCTAGTAACATTTAAGCATCTTCCGCGGAAGGACGAAAAGTGAATGACTAGAACAGGATTCGATCCCGTAATTTTGCAACAGCAAAATTCTGTTCTACTTGGTGGGCTACCTCAAAATAAAACTATTAAACAGACAAAGCAGCAGATAAGCGTATATGCGAAAATGCTGCGATGTTCGCATGTTGCGACTGTGAGATTCGCAGCATTCACATTCGCCAATGTACTGGAAATTATTAAACTTAACGAGATTCTGTGGACTGGAGAAGATAGGCTGTTGGAAACTCACACTTTAAAAATAACGTTAATCAAAACGGGAGGCGGTGCAATAACATGTGTATCTGATTAGTTTGTTAACACTAGTTGGCTATACGATACCCGAAGTCTGCTGGAAGACACTGTAGATAAGTGAACGGGTTTTCTGCCATGACAAGTCTTGCGCTCGTCCAACCACATTGGCTACCAACACTGGGCGTCAGGTTGGATGCT